TTTATCGCACATTAGGATTATATCTGAATTATTTATGTATTTAGAGAAAAGAGCTCCCCTCACCTCAGTCCACGGTTTACTCATCATAGTAGACCACCATTCTGTAATGTGATCGTCCACTTTAATCGATAACGCGATCAGAAGACTTAAACTATCGACGTTTGGGAGCTTGAAAATCTTGTCTACTGCCTCGATAAAAAGCACAATAGCCTGGGGATTGTTATGGCTACATGTAGGAACATTCGATATTAATTTATTCGAGTCAACTTTGAACTTAATCTTATGGTACGAGGTGATATTGTCTGCTGCCTCAATTGCGACTTTCAAAATTTCGGAGCAGTTTTGATTGGTAGTTTGAATATCTTGAATATCTTGTGCAAGTGAATTTACAAATGATGAATTAGGCAAAGTTGGTTTAGGTTTAGGAGATAGTAATTTCTTAGATTTCGTTTTCAAAGTAGGGGCGGTGAGTACACGTTGCGAATGTACCGAAGAATTGACAGTACTGGCAGTACTTGCCTGCGGAGACTCATCTGGAACCTCTTTAAGGCGTTGAAAGGCAGTTAGGAGTTCCTGCTCAGTCATGCTAGCAACCCGACTACCTTTTGGGAATTGTAACAGTTGTTTAGGGTTGGCTACCGCAGGTGTGGAAAATTTCGAAACTGAGGTGACACCTTTTGCGGTGCTACGCGTAATAGGAGGTGGCATCAAAGAAGTTATGTAAAATAATAACTGTCAGTATGAAAGAAACCTTAAAACGCGGAAAATACCTATACGAGTAAAATATCTAATTGACTATCAACCGCACATGCTGCATAAATATGATCGATCGGTACAAGCGCGACAAATAAAATCGATAAATTATCACAAGGTTATTGCATAAACAACACATAAAAATAATCGTAGCTCACAATACACCAACAATTTTGATAAAGATTACAACAATAAAATTTACGTTACGCTCTGCTACCATTTGTAGCGAGTGCCCAGTGGCCTCGCTTTAAAGAAAATAAAAAAAAGGGGTCGGCCAAATGCCGTGGATCAACGACGAGCAATGTTACTCACTGGCCATAACATGTAGTTAAATTTAATAATATTTAATTATAAGATTAACAATAATAAACAACTAAGGCGTACAAGTGAGCTACTTTTTGTTAACTATGATTCTAGGTGTCTATATAATTACGTAATCCGGCCAATACGACTGTATGATGTTAAGCTGGGTGTCGTGATGTCTTTGGCGTGCTTTATTAGAACTTAGAAGGTGACCATCATGCGCGACGACGGTGGTCACTAAGGGGTGGCCGCTCTTCCTCGCGTGGCCATCGCGGGAACGGGGTGTTATTGTGTCCACCACTGGTTACTACCCTTGGCGTCGAAGATTATTGGCCTCGGAGACGTAATTGGAATTCCAAATGCAGCAATAACACAAAAGGAAAAACCTTGTGAAGGCTCACCTAGGGATACGCCTATTAGTATTAAACAAGACTTCATGCATATAACGCTCCCTGGTCAAGATAAAGGGAAAATGATAGATCTGTAGATACGCTACAGATCTTTTGTTATCGCAGACCATGGAAAGCGTGTTATAATTTCACCATATAAGCAACAGTTAAAATTAAATAGCGATTACCCTTATGGCGCTTACAGAATAGTCAGACTAACAATTCACAAGTAGCATACAGTAAATAATACAGAACAAAATCACAAATATAATGACAAGTACACTTACGTCTTTATAGATTGAAAAATGTATGATCGAGCGAGCAATAGCACTCGTGCCGCTGGTTGACAACGAAAGAGGAAAAGCCCAATTTTGGTGCGGTGTATGTGAGCGCCGAAAATTTGTAAGTGGGAACGGAGAGATAACTTACGGAAAACCCGATCTATACATAATATACAGCGTGTACCGTAACACTAGGCATGCTGAACGTTTATAGAAAGTTTTTACCCCACGCTCGAAACCAAGCACCACTCACCGATCTTTTAAAAGGTTCCAAAAAAGAATGACATAACTAAGATAAAGCGGTCCATTAAATGCCGAACTGACTGAATGCGCTCTTAGTGTGTTGGGAGTAGTTGGTACCATTGCCATTGACATGATTTTCACTTTTGCTTTTGTCGGGGTAATGACAGTTCTATCTTTGCGAAGAAGGTCGATTTGAATTGGAAAATTCCAGAGTCTTCACGCTAAAATTGTTTAAAGCGTCTTTACGCGAATGGGACAGGGCTGTATTCCTCTTGAGGTAAAGTTAATTTCATAGAATTCCACTTTGTTAACACGTGTTAATGTTAATGAGCTAATTTAATTACCTATTTTTGTTTTATCAATCTCGTAATCTGCAACCCAGTTTTTAATGGGGTACGTAAGTTCGAATAAATTGGAATTAGGTCTGATTTTTGGTATTGTATTTGGTTTACATGGTAATGAATTAGAAAACTTGTCAATAATTAATCAGAAATTAAAAAATGTTGGTGTTGCTTTGATGCGGTTATAAAATTAGTGTAAATACTACCCACGATACAACCACCTCGGGAGTAGTGACCACACTACAGATCAAAATCTTTTGCATCTTTGGATCAAACGTAGCATGAAATTTTGGACATATGCATTTCCCTAAATATGCATTTGACTGCTTTTTCAATAAAATTGAGATGTAGATTTCGGCTTCAATGCCCATATGACGCAAAGTACCTATTGTTTGAGATTTCCCAAACCTGGTTCATTTTCGAGATGACACAATATTTTCAGGCACACTAAACTTCTACTTATTCAAATTTTACTGTCAGACATAGGTAGATACAGGTACGATAAAATCAATACTCGCTAATACTACCACGTACGTAACAATTACGGATTATGCGAAAGTCCGGTCGCCAAGTTTAAAAACTGTACTACTCAACACAGATTTTGCATTAGACCTTATTCCACTACTTGTACATCGGTTTTCCACTTGTTCTCATTGTACATTTTAAATCCCCGTTGCGGTTTCCAACCTGATAGGTCAAACTAAACCGTTCTACCAACCTAATTGAGAATTCAATACGTTAACCTTTGCGCGAAGTTCGAAGGTAATCCATTTACTACGGCGATACACTCGGTCGACTAGACTAGTTTAATGTTACCAATTGCTGTGTACTACTAAACTAAGTAAATGCAAATCAACTCAAGTACGAGGTGATTTAACACAACGAACTAATTTCATATTTAGAAAGTGACGATTTCGATTTTGCATGTTGCACTTTCTCCCCCAGTCACGAAAGGCTTAACAACAAACTTGGGGCCAACTTAAAGATAATTTTAAAGTCTCCATAGTACGGTAACAAATTAGCATTAAAAGCGAGCATTGTTTTGCACCTTATCTTTCGTGTCAAGTTTTGATTTAATATTACTAAAGTATCTAAACTCTCAAAGTTCTAAAGTTATTTTTCGAGTTTCGACTTTGTAACAATTTCGTATCTTATAAAAGCAAGAATTCGGGTAAGTTTGCGCAAAGTTATTTGATATTACAAAATTTAAACAACTTTATTGCATTACGCTTAATTATAAAAGGAATTTAATGGGCGCCTTGTATCGCAATGAAGGGTTTTGTGCAGTTGAATAATTTTAACAGTATAACAGGTAATCCCCCAGCGGCGACTACCAATTAATGCAGGAATTTTTATAACAAAGTTATCTGGAACACCCTGTATATACTATTCAATCTGTCTTCAACTCATTTTTGCATTTGTTCAACTAGGGAATGCCTTGCCGCAGTCACACTTCAACCCCAGTGGATTCCGAATCGATGGCCTTTAGTCATGCAGAATCCTGATGTTTAAAAAATTACGCAACTGGAATATTGTTTTTGCAGTTTATTTAATTTTCGCAGTCCTTTTGCGATTGACACAAAATTTCACGCAACAATGGGAATTACTGGACTATCGAATTTTTGGAATTTTAATCCGGCCAATTAAGTGAGTATAAATACCGGTAGGTAATTTTATGTATTGCATTAAACCTCGTCTGATCCGATTGTATCTAGTGTCAAATGATGCGCGCTTAATTAACATGAATTTCCAGATTAGTCCCCGATTTTTAGGACGTCGGGGAGTTTGATAATTAATGGTCTTTTTAATTTTGTTGAAGACGCTGTGCGTCACTTTCGAAATATAGTGTCTAGAAGAAGTTGAGCAGTTTTAATAAAAGATTTAAATTATCTTTCAGTGAAGTTGTCAAGTTTGTGAAAAAGAAGTTAGTATGAGTTGGAGTCCATAAAGTATAGTTGTCTGCTTGGTAAAAGATAAAAGTTTCTCGCGTCAGAGCAGCCGCCGTGAATCTATTTCAACTTCTTTCCCAAGATAGTTCGAGTCCAGTTTTATCTAGCGATTAAGGCGAAGTTTCTGGCCTGCCCCCCCCCCTCCCTTAAATTATCACTTTCATGATCCATCTGTACCTTTTGACGTCTCTTTCAGGCCTTAGTCACTAATTACTTCCTCAACTATTATTACACAACTTTCTCAGGTGACCCTTTACGCTCTCCTACCTTGTTACCATCTCTTTTAACCCTTCTTTGCTTGTTCCTTCTGAATTCCCTATTCCTTCGCACTCTCTTTACAGGTCTTTTTACACGGTTTTCTTTGGCATCTTCTCCCTTCACGCTCCATTTACATTTAATGGTAGGTTTATACAATCGTTATCATTAGTTCACTATCATTACATCATTAAGAAATAGCCAATAGAAACAAAAGTTTATGGTACGTGGCTAACCAATGAAGCCATACATTTGTTTCTATTGGCTCTTTATTATTGATCTAATGATAACGATTGTATAGCCCCACCATTAGTTCGCGCTTCACTTCCAGAACACCACCTTTATAGCTTTTTTGTTTACCTTTGTTTGTGCACACCTCTTTCATATACAATTTCGTGACGCTCTCATTCTTTCTCTCTATTTTTTACGGTTCCGTTTTCATGTCTTTCTTTAAGGGTTCCTATCGCTTGTTTTTAAAAAAATGTATTGCTATGTGAAATGGCAAAACACACCCTTCAAACGTTTTCCTACGGTTCTAGGCAACTTTAGCGAAATTTATACTAAATCCACTACATTCAACAATGGAAACTTCTTTTTCCTTTGAAACAAACAATCTCCGAGTACCAAAAAATTTTACCGTAAGAGATAATTGGTAAAACTAAAAGAAGGAAAGGATTTCAGACACACACCACGCATACAAGCGATCGATAGACTATTAATTAAAGAAAATCAGTTAACAGCAATTTTCTGGTGCACAAAGAACTAAACAAACACTCGCTGACAGCTTCATCTTGATAACACGAACTGGTTTTGTCGAACTTGATGCTTAAACCTTGTGGCTTTTCGGACAGTGGGACCCTTTTATTATTAGCGAAAAGGGAACCTAGTAGGAAGGCTTCGCTGTGCAATAAATAAACTGTTTGGTCGACACACAAGTCGAACTATTATTTCTTGCTTAAAACTTCTCACGAACTGGATTAATTTATTTGATGACGTCCTACATTAAATCAATTAAGTTTTTTCAATAAACAAACTTCACTATAAGAAAACGATCTCTGTCTTAAAATGCAACAGGCTGACTGCCCAAAACGGTGTTTAAAGCGCGGATTAATACTATCGGACCACCACTCAAAAATCAAGTCCGATTTTCCGTTATGCTGTCGTATTTAAAAGATCACCCTTCTCCCACCTAAAATCTCCTTCCTTAAAATTTTGTAAACAAGCAGCCAATCAGAACTAAATTTGAATATCGTTTGTTTGTTTGTGTTGTTGTCTGTTACAGATTGGCAGAAAGTGTCCTTCTTGAGCTCAACAAGGCTGTTGCGACCTGTAGTGAAAAAGGTAATATTTATTCTCGATGATTCCTTGATATAACGTTTGATTACATACTGGTTTTCGATACAATCGAATTCTAAGTATTACCTTTGTTTGATATTTATTTAACGATTGTAGCTCCGTTGTTTATGCGGAAGCCCGTTTTGATTTTAATCCTTTCTCCGATTACGTGTTTATCCTCTTTTTACATTATTTGTACTATTTCGGAGATTTGTTAAATTACCCTCGATTGTAACCAAGTGGCGCTGATCCGGTTAAATATTCCATTTTCCTTTTTGATTTGTTTTCCTAGTATACTAGAACTCCCACCTTCACCCCGGTTCACCTCTACTTTGCCGGAGCTTACCGAGTGCTTATTTGTTACGTTTGCCCAAAACGCCAAACCTTATAAATGTACTTTGTGTAGAATTTAAAGACGACTTGCTATTAATATAACGATCCATTTTTGTTGCGAACTGGCGGCCTTCAAAAGTTACTAAAATAAAATTTTATTGCTACGCTAAATAAAATGAAAGGTCGCAATTCTTTTGAATATTTTCAGTCTTGTTAAAAAGCAGTGGAATGTAAGGAGACGCAGCTGAAAGGGGGGAACCGAAAAGTTCTGAAAGAGCTTTTACACATTTTACGAAGTCACGATTACATGAATTTTAATTACACTTACAAACGTTTTTAGTACATTCGCAACAACAAGAAAATCTCTAAAAACGATTTGAACAACGTAATGAATCACTATAGGGATGCACAGGCTGTTTTAGGCCATCATCTCTCCAGAACTTCCTGCATAGTTAACCAAGAATAATGAGCTGTATCTCGTTTACGAGAACTTGAATTCACGTTGGTCCTATTCTACGCAGCCAAGTGTTAATGCCTAACTACAGAAAATGTTAACGTCAAAGTATATATTCCCCTTCACGGAAAAAACGAGGTTTCAAGCGTTACATGAATGCAAAGAGGATATACCGAGCGGTAATT